TCCCTCACCTGCTCCCTCCCTCACTCACCTGTTTCTTCCCTCATTTACCTGCTCCCTCCCTCCTTCCCTCACCTGCTCCCTCCCTCACTCACCTGCTCCCTCCCTTACTCACGTGCTCCCTCCCTCCTTCCCTCACCTGCTCCCTCCCTCACTCATCTGCTCCCTCCCTCCCTCACTCACCTGCTCCCTCACTCACCTGCTCACTCCCTCTCTGACTTATTCACTTACTTACTCACTCAGACAGTAGTACCTGAATGCTGTCCCCTGCAAGATAGGACACAGGGGAATGTCTGGGAGGCCTGCCTGTGCCTTTCTTCCATGAGTGCTCAGGAGCCATGCTGTGATGGGTGGTTGTCAATGGGTGGTTGATGCTCACTCACTTCCTGTGCCTATGGGGATGACAAAACTGTGGAGTGGGGCAGCTCCCTGCCCAACCACCTCTGCCTCACATGGGCAGAGAGCCTGGAGGAGTGGTCAGCCCCCTGTGGTGTTGTTCTGCACTTCATGGATCTCCTAGGGCTCTGCCTGCTTTTCCTTAACTGGAGCCAATTTTTCCCTACCTTGGGGCTTGATGGGACTCCTTCATCCCATCTCACTTGGCCTCTGGGGAGCACCCCCCATCACAACAAGGACACAGGGGGTACTACTTGAAGCCCTCCTCGTCTGGGCAAATCCCATAGCCACCAGTGTCTAGGGACTCTGAGACACTGGCCGCTCCTGTCCAGGCTTCTCTAAGACCACAGCACCTCCTTGTGTATTTTCCATCTTAAGGAGAGGTTTATGGATTTTCACAGTACAGGAGCAGTATAGTGGCTATGTACATTCAGTGGTGCCCATGCCCATTTCCGTGGCTTTGGAGAACCTTGTTGTTGCTGATGCACCCGTATCTTTGTCCTCTATGCCCAAGATTCTTACTAGAATGCACAGTCTTCGGGTCTGTGGCCAGGAGACTGAGCCTTGACACAAAGGGCAGGGCAGGCAGATTCTACCTTGGGCATGGTTTAGATGGGCTCCGGGAAAGTCATCCAGGCCTGCTGGCCTCAGGTGTCACTGCCATTTCTGGATGTTTTCCCAAAAGGAGAGTGTTGCAGAAAACAGATACTTTGCTGGATGCACTCCTGTAATCCAGCAGCTCAGGAGGCTGAGGCAGGAGGATCACAAATTCAAAGCCAGCCTAGCAAGGCCCTGTCTCAGATTGGGGGCTGGGGGTGTCGTTCAGTAGTAGAGCACCCCTGAGTTCAACCTTCGGTACTGCAAAAATCAAACAAGATAATGCAGAGCATGCTTTATGTGATGTCATCTGCACTGAAGGAGGAAGCCATCCAGAGGGAGGCAACAGCCAGGTCTTCCACAGGTGACTACAGGCAAGAGCAGAAACAGAAGTGGATGTGATTCGGGTCTGTGGCCAGGAGACTGAGCTTTGTGATTGTGTGCAGCAGAGCTCAGACTATATCTCAGATTCCAGGGAAAAGAACATAGGGCTCTGGAAGGTGTGGATGGTTGGGATATGGTAAAGAAAGTCCTGTGGAGGAGTAGATAGCAGAGCACGAGCCACGCCCCAGTGGGGCATAAATAACACACAAGACCCAGGAACCCTGAGTGGCAGGCACGCTCTCTAGGCAACACATGGGACTGCTCCCATGTGTGCCTAGTGCCTCTAGACTGCCCGAGGAGGCAGACAGCCCAGAAGCTGTGACCAGGCAGCCTGGGTCTGGATCCACCTCTGGGTAGAGGAGAGAGAACCTTGGTCTTCAGTAGCCTCCGCAACAGATTCAGGCCAGTGGTCATCTTTATTTCCCTGGTCTCCTCCTGATTTGAGAGAAACTTTGAATCTGTAACAAAACTTTGTTAAATTTCCCAACATTGTGTATGCATGTATATGCACATGTGTGGTTAGGTTTGAATACACAAGTACAGACTTGTGTTCGTTGTGCAGATGCACAGGTATATTTGTGTGCATGTGTGAGCCCATGTATAATATGTATGTAATGTGTGTTCACACAAATGTGTGTACATGTGCATGTTTGGGGCATACATGTGATTGTGAGAGTATGTATGTATATGTGTACAAGGGAGCTGCATCTTTGTGGGTACATGCCTATATTTGTGTGCATGTGAGGGGTGTTCACAGGTTCATGCACATGCTGTGAGTGCAGGTGTGTGAGTTCACTGCGTGTCGTATGCACATGGCTGTGTGTGCATGTGTGTGAGCGCGTGCATGCTGTGGGAGGCAAGGAAGGCATGGGTTGTTGATTTCTGGCACTGCCTTTCCTCAGCCTCTTTTGTTGCCTTAGCACTTGTGGTGAGCTGTGGAGACTCGAGAGGAGAATCACAGTCACATTTCTTGGAGTGATCTGTCTGCTTGTTTTATGTTCACCCCTCTGCCAGTGAACGTTTCCTGAGCGTAGCTGTGTGTTGGGCTGGGTCCAAAGAGGAAGCAGGCACATGTCTCAGAGCAGCATCCAGGCTACACTGTGGGAGGCAATGGTCTTCACTCGAGGCCAGGCGTTTCTGAGGAGGAAAGGTGGTATACCACTTGAACAAGATGGGTGGAAGAGAGGGAAGGGTGGGAGCAGAGGTGTGGGAAAAGCAGGAGGGTTGTGCCAGGCTGGAATGGAGAATGCATTACAAAGGGACTGGAAGGAGTCTGGGATGGCTGAGACAGGGCTTGAAATTTGGGTTAAGCAAGTTGCTTCCATTTTTTTTTATAGACAGTGGGCAAACTTTTGAATTGGGGACTGATAGTATCAGGCCCCAATGTTTCATCTAGTGGCATCTGATTGATTTGATAGGCAGGGTAGTCCTGAGGCCAAAAACCCATCATGTACCTAGCACCCTATAATGGTAACTAGGGTCCAACAGGTGAGCAAGCCACCTTGGGTGAAGCCAGAGTGAAGGTTTCTCTTCTCCTTCCAGAAGAAATTTGACATGACTTGGAACTGATTGGAAAAAGGGGACTATAGCATAGGAGAGGAGGGCAACAGTGGTGGCCCAGGGTTGCTGGTCCTGGAGAAGGGTGTCCTTAGCTGGACCAGCAGGTTCCAGGGCAACACACAGTGTGTCAGGGAGATGGGGACTGTCAGGGGACATCTGCCCCAGGATACAGCTATCTCATCCGGGTTTTTCCTCTGGTTGCTGTGATGGGGAACCAGAAGGGACCAGGGTAGAAAGAAACTTGTGGAGAGAGGCCCCAGCACTCAGGGAGTGAGAGGGGCAGACAGAGACAGGGAGGGCATGGCAGGCCCAGGTGAGCCCCACCAAGCCCAGGGTGGGAGCAGTGTGTGCAGAATGGGGGTTCAGCGTGGGCCTGTGGGTGTGGATGTGTTCTACCTTTGCAGAATACTTGGGCTCCAGAATTTATCTTGGGATTGACACACCTCCTGGGGAGCTCCAAACCCCAGGCCCGAAGCAGTTGACCTACCCAGCTGCACTCCCGCCTCCTTCAGGACTGCTCAAGACCACGTCCTCCCCTCCTGCTGGGTGGGTGGGCGGGATGGGCTGCACCCTGCCTTTGTTGCCATAACCTGTGACATTTCCTTTCCAGTTGCCGGATTCATTATAAGGATATGTACAGTTTGTTGCGTTGTATTGCGCCACCCGTTGGCTTAGGGAAGAACTGCCCTCGTAGGTTGGCCTACAAGGTTTGCAACTTCAGAGCCTCCATCCAACATACTTCCCTGCCCGAATCGCAAACACAGCACACACTCCCTGCCTGGTTTGGGAATGATGACACCTCACCTCTCTTCCTTCTGCCCTGCCCTGCCCCGCACTCTGGCCTCCTTGATGCTTTGGTTCCCTGACAATCTCCCTGATCCCTCCAGCTGGCTGGGGGCAGGCAGCTTTTGGAGACAGTGCACAGAGGGCTTTCTGGCCAGGCCATGTCAGCCAGGACCAGCCACTGGGTGGGGCCAGGTTCTGCACCAGGATGCAGCCGTCTCACCCGGGTTTTTCCTCCAGGCTCTCGTGGGTGGGCTGATGGTCAGATAGGCCAGAGGCTGAGGGCCCTTGGGAGGGAACTTGGACACTAGTAAACAGGAGCAGCTGCCCCTCTGGTTCCTATGAGGTTTCTGGTTCTCTGGGGGTTTGGGGGAGGCAGAGGCAGAGTGGGGCCCAAAGATAAGCCCACATGCATTGCTTCTAGATGGATCTGCTCAGCACAGTGGAGGAGCCCCTGGTGTAGAACGATGGGAGGAGAGCAGTGTTGGGAGACCCACCTGCCAGGAAGAGGCTGGGTCTGAACCTGCTGTGCTTCTGGGACCCCAAGCCTGGGAGCAGGCACCCAAGGGCTGAGGGAGGCCCCAGACTCAGTGGCCTCTCTGCTTGGGGAACACTTCATCACAAGCCTCAGACACCTCCCTGAGTCCAAGCCTTGGGTTCCAGGCCCACCAGGAGGCTTGCCTCTCTGTTGGTGGGACTTATGCTGTCAGGCGGTGCAAGAGTGGCACCAGGCCATGCCTGCCCAGCTGCTCCCCACCTCAGTCTCCTCCCTACCCAGCCCTGACCCCAGCAGCAGCCCTGCCCGGGTTGGCCTCGGGCGTCTCTGGGCTTGGAGCAGGACTTGACCCAGGGTTGAATTTGGCTATAGAGCTTCCAGACTCCCTCTCTAGTTTCCTGGTCTGTCGCAGATTTTCCTCAGTCTAGCCTCTGGTCTCACCTGGGAGCCAATCTGACTGCTGCGGCAGTGGCCGTAGCAGCTGTGGCTCAGCCACAGCGTTGTCTCCACAGCACTCCGCAGCTCTTCCCGCATGGTGAAACAGCGCTTTCTGATTTGGCCTTATCTGTGTTCTAAAAGAGTAAACTAGAAATTCACAGCCCAAAGCCGCCCCGATGCAGCCCTTTCCCTCCATGTTCATTAGCTCAGACGTCACCCTGCCCGCTGTCCTGCGTGGGGCTGGAGTGAGGAGGTGAGGCTGGGGGTGGGGCCGCAGGGTCCAGTCAAGCAGAGAGAGCCCTCACTTTGCCTCTTGGTTGTGGGCATCTAACCGGACACTGATTAACTGGATCTGTTTTCTTGTCTGCTTCTTCCCTGCCCCTGCTCCCTGCTCTGCCCCTCCTGCTGTGCCTCCTCCCGTGGACCACCCACTGTGCCTGGGCCTCTCTGGGACGGGTTTCCAGTGGGCGCATCAGTTACAATGACATGTTTGAGATGCTGAAGCACATGTCCCCGCCTCTGGGGCTGGGGAAGAAGTGCCCTGCTCGAGTTGCATACAAGGTAGACCCTGAGCCTGCACCCCAGAGCTGTCTGTGCCAGGGCTGGGCCTGCCCGGCCTGCAGCCGCAGGGTGCTCCTGGGCTCTCCTGTCTGCTTCCTCAGGGCTTGTTGGCTGACTGCACTCGGCTGCCTCCCTGTTCCTGTCTCCTCTACCCCATGCCCTCTCTGCTCCTATCCCAGACAAGGGGACATGGCCACCACCATGTCTCTGCACTGTCCCAGGGTACACAGCGCTGGCTGCCCCCTCTGCTGACAGCCCCAGAGAGGCTCAGGAAGATGGAGCCAGAGTTTAGGTCATTCTCTGCCCTTCACCCTGCCTTTCCCTTCCTAGGAATGAGGGGACAGACCAGTTTCTTGGACAGAGGTGGTTTTTTTTCTGGGCTCAGAGCCACTCTGGCTGCCCTGTTTCCTAGGCTCTAGTGTGGGTGATATTGTCAGGTCCTCAGGTCAGGCCCTGGGTGCACGTGGGAACTGCAGGACCTCTGGTGCTTCTGCATACACCTGCCTGCCGAGCTCTCTAAGTACAGGTTCCCAGGCCAGGCTACAGTCTCCAGAGGCTCCTGGGCTCCATGGTGGGAGGGAAGCACTGTGGTTTCAAGAAAGAAAGGGTGTAGAGGGGCATTTTGCTATCATTCATGGGGTTTCAGCGGCCACTGCAGGAGAAGCACGTTCTCAGGGCCTGGAGTCAAGGTAGCCAAACTGTAAGGAAGGGATAGACCCAGGGTGTCTCCTGGCCTTCCTCCTGGGGCTGGGCAGGCCAAGCCCGCTGTCCCTGCCCATACCATCATCAATCACCCACCCCTTCTGGGCCCCTTCTGGGCCCCACTGTTTCCAGCAAACAGGACTGGCCTGTGTCTCCCTCTGTCTAAGAGAGCGTCTCGCAGAGTTTCCCCAATTCGCTGGGTGTCTCCTGTCCACCCTGTCTCTGTGCCCCATTCTAGGTCTTCATCTGCCACCTGATTCCGAGCAGCCTGTGGGAGCTGAGCAGCTCCTCCCAGCCACACACAGATGCCTCTGGTGTCTTCCTCGGCCCCTCCCCACCCCTGACTCGCATGCGGGTTGTGTCTGCCAGAGGCCCTGCATGCAAGGCTGTAGCTGTGACCCCAGGAGGGAGAGCTCTGTCCACATCGACACCAGGCTGGGTGGCAGGCTGCGAGGCCCTGCCCAGCCTTGCCACCTGACTCCGAGGTTTTGGGTGTGGTGAGACCCTGGAAGGCTTCAGAGTGGGAATGAATGGCCCTGGGGAGCTGGGGAGGGAGCTGATACCTGTTTGCCCTGACCTTGCCCTGATACTTCTCAGAGGGCCCTGGCCCTTGAGGGCCCTGGGCAGGTAGTGGGATCCCTGGTGAGTGCAGCCCTCAAGCACCCTGGACGGAGCTCTCCCCTCTTGGAAACCATCTGCTTGCTCCTCTTTCACTCCCATCCCGACTCCCCTCCCTGGGAGAGGAATTCCTTGGCCTCTCGCACTGCCATCGGTGCCGGTCTGCAGGGACGCCATGCTCTGGGAAGCAGGTTTTTCCTGGTGTACAGCACACATGCTGTGTGAGGTCCTGACACCATGGCTGGATGTGCCAAGTGGAGCTTTGCCAGCATTCGGGGGACAACGTCTGGCTTGTGTCTTCGGCACCCCCACCTCTGTCACACTGAGGCCACAGAATACAGGGCCAGGGTGCTGGGGACAGGGCTGCGTAGCCTCCCCAGGGAAGGGACTAGAGGACTGTGCTACCATAGGGTACACACCCCAGTGAGGAGTTCCTGACTGCAGCCCCCATCATGGGCAGTGGACAGTGTGGTCAGGGTGCTTGTGGGCTCCATATAGCACCCCAGATGCACCCAATTCCCCATTTTTCCTCTAGGCCTCCTTGGCTCTCAGTGCCTGAGGCTCTGGTCATCTATGGGCCCAGCCCAGAGGACCATACTGCCAATGTGCCTGTCTCCAACTGCTCTGCCCTAAAAACTGAGGACAGGGAAAGGGCCCACTCAACACGGGGACGGGGAGAGAGTGTTCCTGGCCACCCGAGCTGTGGCTGGAGGAGCCGGAGGCCCTCTGCAGTACCCTCAGTTCTGGGTCCTTCTGACTGGAAGGAGCTGGTCTTGAGGACTCCTCGCTGCCTTGAGCTGAGATGTTCTCTGCCTTCTGATGGCACTGAGCTGGATGGTAAGAGGTGGAGCCCTTATGGGCCTGAGTTAAAGTCGCCCCTTGAGGGGTGCTCAATGCCATCTGGGTCTCAGAGCAACACTCAGGGCCATCACCTCTGGTCCAGATCACCAGCTGCACAGAAGGAGGCGAGATGACAGAGTGCAGGACAGGAGCCCCCTCCTGTCTGTGAACCCTCCTCGAGGCCTCTGTTTTGGGCCTTCCTTAGCCAAGGCCACAGTCCCTTTTTCTGTCCTTGGGCAGTGGACAAACATCCCTCTGGCTGAGAGTGTCCCTGTTTTCCCCGAAGCCCTGGCTCCTGGCCCCACATCCTGACTTGAGTCCCCACTTTTCTACAGCCAGGAGAATCCTTAGCTCAGATGAGGGTAGGGCCGAGGGTGAGTGTGAATGCTGGCAAAACTCCCATCCACCCAGACTCGCTTGGCCTAGGTACCTGCAGGGACCACCTCAGGGAGCTCAGCAGGCCTCCATGGACTCTGAGCACGGCATAGTCCTAGGGTGGGGTGACCCCCTCGCACCTGGCCCTGACCTGCCCCCACTCCTTCCCAGCGCCTGGTTCGCATGAACATGCCCATCTCCAGTGAGGACATGACTGTGCACTTCACATCCACGCTGATGGCCCTCATTCGAACTGCACTGGAGATCAAGCTGGCCCCAGGTAGGTGAGGTCTCAGAGGAGGGAGGGCAGACCATGACCACTGCCTAGAGAACCAACCCAGGTGATCCACCAGACAGGGACTGGTGTCCCTGCCCTGCCCTGCATCTACCCTGGGGCTCCGCCCCTTTCCTGCTGGGAGACATTGAGGCCAGCCCCCTGCACACCTGGTCCCACTCCTCAGGGACATCACACACCTGCGTTAGCTCTGGCTCAGTGGACTTCCCCTCTACTGGGTTACTTGTATCAATTTCTCCTTCCTTTAAAGGCTTCTGCTCTCTCCTCTGTTGATTCCTTCCTTCTTAGCAGCCAGCTCCCTGTGCTGGTCTCTGCTCTCTGGTTCTCTTTTCCAGTCCACATTTGGGCTCATGGCCCACTCTGTTGGGTCTGTGTCATGTTGAAGAACCCAGAGGTCAGTTTTCAGTGCTCACCTTGTGGCCCTGCTGCAGCCCTCCTCCGTTCCCACTCCCTTCTGCTTGAAACCTTTTACATCTCTCATTTTTTTCTTGCCTCCCTCACTCTGAATGGCAGTATGCTTCAAAGCATTCTCTTTGCCTCAAAAGCATCGTCTCTGCTTGCTCCTTCACCACCTCACCTATTCCCAGGGCTTTGAATATTAGGAACTGAGTCTTGTATTTTGGCCCACCCCAGTGTTCCTCAAGTTTCTGTGTCACCTGGAAGCCCAGTCAGTGCTGCACAGCTGACTCCCATGAACTTAGCTCCAGGTCTCCCAGTCTCCTGGCCTCATCAGTGGAGACCTATTCATCCTGCTCCATAGCCAAACCTTGGAATCATCCTTGTTGCCATTTCTCCTTTTAATTTTGGATTTGTGTTTGATCTCTTATCATATCTTCTTGACTCTGCCTTCAAAATATATCCAGGAAGTGTTTACTTCTATCTCTCTGCCAACTGCCAGCTCCTGGTCCCAGCCTGTCAACTCTTGATGAGTTGCTGCAGCCTTTGACCTGGTCTGTGTCTGCCCTTCAGCATGACAACCTGAATGATCAGGGAAAAACCAACACAGTTGATGGTCCTCTCTTTTTCCTCTGATGAAGAGAGAAGCTGCAGATAACCAATGTAAGGAATAAAAGAAGGGCATCACTGTGGATCCTGTTGACAGGAAAAGGATAGCAATGGAATGTCATGGTCAACATCATGTCAGTGAATTCAACAACTTAGGTGAAATGGAAAAATTCCTTGAGAACACAAACGACCGAGCTCTTTCAAGTGGAGATAACCTCAGTGATGCTATTTGTGTTAAATAAACTAATAGCAAGCAGCCTTCCAACAGAGAAATTCCAGGCGTAGATGGTGTCACTGGTCAAGTCTACTAAACATTTAGTGAGAAATGTTTAGACTTTGGTTAATCCTATAGACTCCTCCAGAAAATACAAAAAGAGAGAGTATTTCCCACCCTATTTTAAATAAGGTTTACTTTGATCCTAAAATCAATGATATAACACAAAAATAAATTTATAGACCCATATGCCTCATGAACAGAGATATAGAAATCTTCAACACATCTTTATCAAACAGAATTTAGCAATACATAAAAGAAGACAGTGCATAGTGATATAGTTGGGGTCTATTCCAGGAATGCAATTTACCATATTAAACAATTAAAACTGTATGGTATCAGTAATCACAGAGAAAAAGCATTTGACAAAATGTAATATTAGTTCATGATAAAATTTCTATGTAAGCTTAGTAAGAAACTTCCTTCAAGCCTAACATATCATCCCACAATGATAAAGGTTATCTATGGGAAAACTTCAGCTAATGCCATATTTAAACAAAGAAAGACAGATTCTCTCCTTCTAGGATCAGGAACAAAGCAGAGATCTACAGTCATGATATATGTTCAGTGTGGTACTTGATGTCTCAGTCACTGTGATAAGGCAAGAAGAAGAATGAGAGCAAGAAGTGGAAGTCCCTGTGTACACCACTGGCATGACTTCCTGTGCGAAAAGTCCCAAAGAGTCTGTTGTAAAAGTTGCTGAAACTAGTGAGTGTAACGGGCTCACAGGATGCAAGGCCAGTCAATGTATGACTCTGGGCTGGCAGTGAGTGGCTGAAGTGGAAGCAAAGGGCTCATGAAAGTAGTACCACAACCATGGAATTACTTAGAGTCTTCACTCAGGATGTGTGGGCTATCAGTTAGAAAACATTCATAAGAGAAATCAGAGAACCTAAATACATGGAGCGTTTCTGTGTGATGTTCATGGATGTAAAGACTCGGTGTTGCTGGGACATCAGTTCTCTCTACATTAATCATCAAAATCAACAGGCTTCTTGGTAGTAATTCACAAATCAAGTCCAAAATTTATGAGAAAAGCAAAAGAACTTGAATGGTAGTTCTGAAAATGAAGAACAGAGTTTGAAACTTACCCTTTTCTACAAAGCATCCTTGATCTATGTGTGGATAAAAGGGTGGAGACACAGAGCAATGGGCAGAATAGATTCTCTCACTCATGTGATCAGCTGATTTCAACAAAGTTGCAAAGGCAATTAAAGGGGAAAAGATCATCATTCCCAACAGATACTGCTGGAAAAATTCAGACAAGTATATGCAACATGAAAAAAAATTCTTGACTCCCACGATCTTAGTCTGCTCAGGCTGCCTGCACTTAATACCAAAGACTGGGCAGCTTAAGCAAACAGAAACTTACCTCCCGTAGTTCTGGAGGCTGCGAAATCTGAGATCAAAGTGCAGGCAGTGTAGGCTTTGTCCCGAGGACTACTGTTTTGGCTTCTAGGCAGCTGTCTTCTTGCTGTCATCTCATGGCCTTTCCTCTGCACAAGGTGAGAGAATACGCATGCCCTCTCTGGGGTCTTATAAGGACACAGACCCTATGGGTCAGGCCCCACCCTTAGGCCCTCATTTAATACCAATTACCTTGTGACAGGCCTGGTCTTCCAACATGGTCACATCAGTGATGAGGCTTTTTTAAGTGAATTTTTAGGGAAAACAATTCAATCTGTAGCACTTGAAATGGGTCATAAACAAATATAGAATCTCAAAACATAAAACTTCTGGAACAAAATGTTGGCAACTTTGAGTTAGGCAGAGATTTCTTAACACACAAAATACATCAACCATAAAAAAACAAGTTGATAAACAACTTCATTAAAATTAAAACTTTTGGGCTGGAATTGTGGCTCAGTGGTAGCGTGCTCAGCTTGCATGCATGAGGCACTCAGTTTGATCCTCAGCACCACATAAAAATAAAATAAAGATATTGTGTCCACCTAAAACTTAAAAAATAAACAAATATTAAAAAAATTAAAACTTCTAGGCTGGGCACATATTGCTGTGGTAGAGCTTGCCCAGCATGTGTGAGACCCTGGGTTCAATCCCTACCACTCCAAAAAAAAAAAAAACATCTAATTTCCAAAATTAAAATTTTAGCTGTGCAAAGTGCTGTATACCTGTAATCATAGCAACTCAGGAAGCCAAGGCAGGAGGGTTCTAAGTTCAAGGCCTGCCTGGGCATCATAGTGAGATCCTGTCTCAAAAATAAAGAAAATTTTTGCTCTTCCAAAGATATTTAAGGGACTGAAGATATAGCTCAGCAGTTGAGCACTTACATTATTATGTGCAAGGGCCTGGGTTCCATCCCTAGCATTGCCCCCAAATAAAAAGGTATTTAAGAAAATGAAGGCAAGCCTAAGATTTAGAAAAGATATTTGCTTAACACATATCCAATATAAGTATGGTATCCATAATATATTATAAAAGTCACAATAAGAAAATAAACAACATTCTTCATAGAAACAGAAAAAGCACTCCTGAAATTCATTTGGAAAATAAGAGACCCAGAATAGCCAAAGCAGTCCTTAGCAAGAAAAGTGAAGCAGGAGGCATCACAGTACCAAACCTTAAACTATACTACAGAGCCATAGTAACAAAAACTGGCATGGTATTGGCACCAAAACAGACATGTAGACCAGTGGTACAGAATAGAAGGCACAGAGACAAACCTGCATAAATACAGTTATCTCATACTAGACAAAGGTGCTGAAAACATTGATTGGAGAAAAGACAGCCTCTTCATCAAATGGTCCTAGGAGAACTGGAAATCCATATGTAACAAAATGAAACTAAACCCCTAACTCTCAACCTTTACAACTCAAAGACAGTATGTGTGTGGGGACAAGTGCATGGAGTACTTCCTACATGACATATGTTAAGGGCACCTGAGTGGCAAACCACTCCCTGTATGCTAGGCGTGAGCGGCAAACCACTTACCCTGTAGGCACAGCCCTGGGCATTAGACTGTGTGAAAGTACTCGCTCCATGGCCCGCTCCTTGATTGTTTGCCTCAAGTACAGTTGGCAAGAAATTGTATTGGTGGCTGCCTATAATCTGCTTAGCTACTGTTATATGCATGGTAACTATGCAATAAAGTCAGACCTGCTTCCAGCTTGGTCTCCAGAGGTCTTGATCCGTGACCCCGCAGCCACACTCTCCTCTACCCAGTTCTGTGGACCTCCTCGCTGGACGAGAGAGAGCCCACGCAAATATGTAAAATTCTTAATTCTTCTAATTAGCACCTCTTTGTGCAAATTTAGGAATTCCCTGTCCATGCCCTTGTCCTTTTCTATCAGGGTGATTTTTAAAAAATTTATTCTAACAGAATGCATGTTGACATATCATTCATAAGTGGAGTTTAACTTCTCATTCTTCTGATTGTACATAATGTAGAATCACACTGATCATGTAATCATATATGTATGTTGGGTAATACTGTCTGATTCGTTCGACTATTCTTTCTACCCCTGTACCCACTCCCCTCCCTTCATTCCCCTCTGCCTTATCCAAAGTACCTCTATTTTTCCCTAGCACCCCCTTATTGTGAATTAGCATCTGCATATCAGAGAAAACATTTGGCCTTTGGTTTAGAGGATTGGTTTATTTCGCTTAGCATAATATTCTCCAGCTCCATCCATTGACCTGCAGATGCCATGATTTTATTCTTCTTTAAGACTTGAGTAATATTTCA